GGGGTGAATTGATAAAAATTGCAAAAATGGCAGGAAAATATGGTTTCTTCAACTTGACTATTGTGATGAGCACCTGATCTCACCGTAATGCCACATATACTGGCCCTGGTCATCCGAACAATGATGTGCCCTACAGCCAATCAAAACGAGATGCATGCCACTGATACTAACCTCCCCCACTTATCTGATCAACAGAAATTAGATGATTTATCAAGAAAAATCGTTGTGCCTGCTATTCAGAGATTTTCTAATTGTTTTTTTCTTGGTATGTGTTTTACGGCGCTCACAACTGAATAACGTCAAATGGGAGCACTATTCAGAGGTGACAACTGGCTACAGAAAAAAACCCGGCATCTTTTCGAACCCAAGGATATATGGGCACTTGGACTCAAAAGTTTATAGATCATGTTGTCTAATCGCTAGCTGCGTGATTCAACCGCCTAAGTGCCAAGAGACAAATTTTTCAGGAGAAACAAAAAACTTTTATTTCTTTATGCTCGAACTTATGAATCTGAAATTCAGATATATGATATATGATGTTGGACAATGGTCTTAGGCTAACTTTAAAAAGAAAAACCTGTCTTACATAAGTTACTGGACACAGGTGGTTTAGACCTTCCAAAATCTGCGAGATTCAACTGCCTAAGTGACAGTATGACGGCGTCTAGGCGTCAATCAACGCCACTTGATGAACGCCAATGGTCGCTTGGACGTTTGAGTTATCGACAAAAGCGAATCATAAAAAATTTTAAGAGTAGCCTACTTATAAAGTTAAGAGTAATTATTTCAGTTATTTGGTTAGGTTTTCTGGGGCAGGGCTGTTTTTAGCCTCATGGAGTTGGTAAAAAAGACCATTCATCTTAACGTTTGATTTATACCTGATGTTTTTGTTTAGTTTCAGTGTCTCAAAGGCAACGAACTTTTGTGACAACGGGGTCGTTTTTGTTTCAGCCAGGTCTGAATGGTCCAGAACATCAACGGGGGGGGGGGGGGGGGGGGGGGATATTGTCTTGCTTTTTTTAAAACGAAGCATTCAAGATTATCTATGAGTACATAAATCAGAAAATTTTTCAGGGACCTTTAGATTACACTGTGTGGGCTGTCCACTTTCATTTGCGTTTGTTCCTTTTCAAGGTATTTATGTTCAACAGTTTAGTTCTATCAGGTACAAATGTCGCTGATTGCATTTGGTAAGATAGCGTTGTGGTCTGATAAGTACAGCCATCACTGTATACAATGAACGTTATATATTTATTGTCAGTAGGTTCCTCCAGGAAATTACTGGCACAAGAAGAGATTTCATTGGCACCGGGCTGCAAAACTGGCACTTGGGCGGTTGAATCACAAGGAAATTGGGGACTGGTGTGATATAGGCGATTGATGTACTGAAGGATTGAAACACTTTGTAATAATCTTTCAAACTCAGGATTTTAACTTAAGGTGTATCAAGGGCTTAACTACATAAAGGGATCAAAAAGTGATTTTCGAAAATATTGTCACTTAAGCAATAGAATCACGCGGCTGGGGTAATGCATCTTTCATTAAGGCTATTTCTATATTAAGCGCAACAGGAATGCAAAAAAGAGATCAAAATTAAGAAATAAATGTATATATGCAAGATTACTTCAAAATCTGGACTGTTTTGGAAATCCAGATTTCCTGATTTATCCCGAATATCCACATTCAAGATTATTCAAGCCTGTTGCCCAATCTTTCTTCTTTGACAAAGCAAATTAAATAATTAAATTCTTGCATGCGGTTGAATGATGCATCTGATGTGATATGAACATTTTGCCAGCTTTATTTTTCTTTTCATATTGAATTTTAATGAAAGTAATATATTTTTTTATTTTTATGCATACCTGCATGTGTATTTACAGTCCTGTACAGCCAAGAAAAATTTCCCTCCTGGACAATAAAGTATTGTCTTATCTTATCAAATCAAATAGCAATATTGCATCAATGTTTTTCTCTTGAATTTGAACTTTTATTTTGTGAATCATGAACATTTTTTTTTACACTGCAGAATACATAATTGTTCAGAGGATGTTATATTTTGGGGCATTCTTAAAGGACCCCCTAAAAGTTAATAATAAAAACAAAATAAAACTTTTCCATGTTTTAAAATTACAAACTCTTATTCTCATATGAATCTCCCTATCGCTCTTCCAGAGAAGTAGGGAGGGGGGGGGGGGGGGGGGGGGGAAGTGATCTTTCATATCTTTATTGCTAAAATATCCCTAGCTGATGCATTTACAATTATTATATACATGATGACGTCCTTGTATAAGTACAATTACCTTTTTTTATCTACTCTTCCATTTCACTTTAAAACATATGTATTTCGAAGCAGACTTTGAGACCTGCTTTTCTTGTTTGCTGCTCCTCTAATTAAGAAAATTCCAAGAAGATTCCTCAGCTGGATCATGGATCAAGTTTGCCTCTTAGAAATTTGCTTCACTTTCAAGGGAAACTGTAACTCCCGAAACACCGTAAATCTACAATCAACATTTTAAAAATCAAAAGTTCCGACTGGATACATCAAAGTTGGCATTACTGCAGACACATTGTACCTGAGAGAAAAGAGCATTCTATGCACCTTAAAACCAAAACTTTACCAAAATCAGCGCTAAAATTACCCCACCCCTAATATTGCAAATTTACAAGCTCTTATCAGACAGACATAAGCCTCACTTTGATTGGCTGAAAGACATTTGGTGTCCATTACATGTGCACTAAAACAGTTCTCTGACCCGCCGTGTTGTTCCACATGGCAGTCCCGAGTGACCGCGAGTACCTCACCACCGCCCGCAACAACTACATAAGTGTCAGGTCGTCACAACAGAGCTGCTGTCACCTTGTTGACCTCATCCACTAAGTCACTTTTCCTCTGTAATTTTGACTCCTGAAATAAAAGAAGCAGCGTTTAATTTTTAAAAATTTTGGCCTTTGTCTTAAGGAGATGGCATGAGAATGTGCCTTAAGGAGATGACAAGAGAATGCAGAAAAAACCCAAAACAAATTTGACCTTCAAAACAAGGTTCACATCAGTTTTCTTACCTCCTGTCCACTAGGGATGTAAAAAGGTTGTAATTTTAATTGAAAAAAAATCACATCACTAGAGTTTATTCAAAAGAAAGTCCACCCAATGTCCTGCCTTTAACAGGTTGAGAAATAACACAAACAAAAATAACAAAACACAAACAAATGCAAGGCAAAAAAATAAAAAAATTTTCATTCAAAAACTGTCATGTACTCATAAAAATTACGAAGTTTATCATTCCTTAAGCATTTCGACTGCATGCAGTAATATAAAACCAAACCAAACAACAAAAGACAACAAACTTATCGGATCAAAAGAATCTAAACTCAACAAGGATATGTCTGAAAACCATTTTATCCGAACAATTTTAAACATGTCCTTTTGTACATTTTATCAAAACAATTAAAACATGTACTTGAGCGCACAGTACAAATCTTCAAATTTAAGAGATTTATGCTCCCACCAAAACAAATGAGATCATGTTGGAGGCGAGTTGCTTCAACCATGACTGTCAGAGCTAGCCTGGGTTGAGGGGGATAAAACATCTGAGCAGAAACTCGATTTAAATAAACCTCCCCACACTGGAGTCGAACTTACATTTTCTGTATGCGATGGCCAAGCACCTAACCACTACACCACAGATGTAGGTCTACTTGTTCATGGCAAGAAACTATGATGATAGCTAAGTATATTAACTGTAAACCAATTAGGACATCAGAGTTTTAGGTTCAGTTTAGTTAAAGAGTTTTACGGCACTTGCAAAGCACATATTGTATAATTTTTTTTACTATATAATAAGCGCGAAAGATTAGGAATGCTTTATGAGAGTACAATAAAAAGAAAAGAAGGAGGAGAAATAAGTACCGTTACGATAGAAAGAAAGAACAAGCCACACCAGAGCACACCCTAACCACACACAGAACAAGACAAACGCTGAGACAAGAAGTAGAAGAAAATGCAGCCCGCACGACGTTGTTTCTAGACCACACTCACAGTGAACAGAAATCATACTCCGTTCATTGTGAACTGATGACTCACTTTAAGTTCCGAGGAGGATGGAAGAAAAGTTATAGACCCAGCAGCTGCTAGTTGCCACAGAATAGGAAATATGTGATGCATCGTAATGAAATCAGGCGCTCGTCAAAATAAAGAAATTGAAAAAAAAACCCCCAGCATTTTCCAACTGGTTTGGCAACTCTTTGTCAATTTTTTTTCTTTTTGGCACAACACCATATGTCGATTCAAAAACGCATTTCTCACTTTGATCATAGGTGCACAAAATGTACATTTTTAGCTTCCTTGGACTCTCTAGCTATGGAGGAACCAAACTTTGGCTAGCATTTTCTCACAAATTTTACCTCTGAAAACAGCGACCCCACAAATATCTAGATTTCTGCTCAAAAATGATGGGTACTTTTTTTCACCTAAAGCAAGGAAAATGAACAAGCTTTCTGATATAACCAATAACTCCATGATCCCAAAAATTGATGAGCACCTGATTCCACAGTACAGAAAAAAAGCCCCCAAAAAACTGTTTTATAAATATGTGTACAAATAATTTCTTCCTGTTCTTTGATGAGATTTCTGAGACAAGCAGTGACCAAAAAAAACCTCCAAACCTTTTCTTGTTGATGAGATTAGTGAGAGAAGCAGAGACGAAAAAAACCCAGCCCATATACAAAAAACAAAGAAAAAACAGACCTCCTCCTGAGACAACGGGTCCCCACGCGAGACCCGACTCTCTAACTTTCGCACTTGAGCCAGTTTCTTTTCTAGACGTTTTTTCTTCTTCTGCAGTTCCTCCTGGCTCATCTGGGCGAGACGACACAACGGACACACGTGTCATATTTTTACATGGTGGGTGATGGGTTGCTTTATAGATGAATGGATGGATGGATGGATCTATTGTTGATTTTACATGGCGGGTGATGTGTCACAGTGTCGCTTTATAGATGGATGGATGGATGGATGGATCTATTATATATAATTGTTGATTTTACAGGGCGGGTGATGTGTCGCTTTATAGAAGGATGGATGGATCTATCGTTGATTTTACAGAGCGGGTGATGGGTCGCTTTATAGATGGATGGATGGATGGATTGATATATCGTTGACTTTACAGGACAGGTGATGTTTCGCTGTATAGATGAATAGATGGATGGATCTATCGTTGATTTTACATGGCGGGTAATGTGTCGCTTTATAGATGAATGGATGGATGGATGGATATATCGTTCATTAAGCTCTGGGCGACTCAAACGAGGATTAAAACTAAACACTGATGGTTTTGAGGCTGGTCGATGAGTTTTGAAGTAATGATATATAGAAAAATAATAATAATATGATCTACAGGGTTCCTGCCATGAACTTCCCACCAAATTCAAGGAGATTTCAACGAGGTTTCAAGGAGAAATTTTTTAAATTCAAGGAGATTTGGTCAAGAAATTCATGACGAAAGCCGATTTCCGATAGGCCTTTACTTATCCGAAAGAAATCATAGTTTCGATTTTCCTACAAAAACTCTGTTCCAGGGTGACTGCCCGGCTTCTCAATTTTCCAGGGGCATGTTACATAACAACGACAGTGCATGCCCCATATATATATATATATATATATATATATATATATATATATATATATATATATATATATATATATATATATATAATATACACACACACGCGCGCATGCAGGTACATTCTATCCAGTCAACAACATGTCAGTGTGGCACTGGGGCATTGCGTGACTTAGGTATTTCAGTCTGTTCTTTACTTATTTATATTTTTCCCTCATCAAACTCATATATATATATATATATATATATATATATATATATATATATATATATATATATAAAAATGAATTTTGTTTTGAGCCTGAGAAAAGCCCTAGGGCCAGAATATCGATTGTCAAGAACCAGTTTGGGTGTCAAGGTATACTGTACATAATAAACGAGAAAGACAACTCAAAGTAGAGTAATTACTTGAATGGCTCAAGTAGACCTATTCAGTTTGAGAGGTGTAAGAACTGTGGGAGGGCAAGAATATGCAGTGACACTGAAAATCTGCGAATCTTGAACAGAAAGCTAAAATATAGAGTATACAATACACGATGTAATTTACTATCACCAACAAAATGAAACGGGAACCCTTTAGTTTAAAATAAAACACGGCTTACAAGGTTTGAGTACGAGTATGACGGATCCCAATTCCACACAAACCCTGCACCAACGCGCGCTTTGCAGAGAGCTCTAGATCTAGAATCTAGTTGTAGTCAAAATTCAGAAAAGTAAAATCTGCTTCCAAGTTCAGTTTTATTGTCATCCGGTGTTGCTTTCAACCCCATCCCCCCTCCCTCGTGTGCGTCTTTTTAAAAAAAATCAATAATCCCCCAATTCCCGAGTACCATACTTCGCAGCGCTCAACTTTGCATGAACTTTGGTGACCTCATGCCGATACTCACGATGTGATGGAAACGAACAGGTTCAATGACCGGTCATGATGGCGAGCCCTACAAGAAGCTTGTATAACTTTCTTTTTCTTTCGATCTTTTTTTTTTCCCACAAGTGACAGCACAGGGCAAATGATTTATTTTCACGGTGACACGGCGTTTGTAATGCACAACCTGCATGTTACAAATGTTACGTTATCACTATCATCAGACTACTACCGGCAAATTTCTGGCTGGTAACGAAAGCGAAAGTAGATCTTGATTTTCTCGATCGAGCTTCGGTAGAGGGTCCATCACTCATACCCTTCCGCTTGCCGCCATGGCCGCCTGTTCGCGTGTGACGTACTCTCAGGCCGGGGAAAGTCAAATATCACAATCGCGACCGGCAAAAATGAACTCAACGACATTATCGGATTCGGTTTTCAAGTATTCAAGAAAAGTATAATATTTTCCCGGGTCTTTGTCGGGGTAATTTACAGAGATTTCTTCAACTTTCCCGGGCATTCCCGGGTCTCGGCGATTTTTTTTTTTTTCAAATTTCCGGGTAATTCCCGGGGCCTGGCAGTCACCCTCTGTCCGATCAGGCAAAATTCAAAGAGTTTTCAAGGAGGTTCCTCAAATTCAAGGAGTTTTCAAGGAGAGTTTTCCTTGAATGCAAATTCAAGGGAGAGTTTTCTTTGAATGCAAATTCAAGGAGTTTTCAAGGACTCCTTGAATTCAAGGAGGCCGCGGGAACCCTGGATCTAACAAAAAAGCTTTCTCCCTGACAGGTTTATTTAATACTTATACCAAAGGGTCTGATAAAGAACGAAGTGAAAGACATTAGGTAAAATATTTTTCGGGGGAAAAAAATCTCCCTTGATCAACCCTTCAAATTACACACCAAGTAAAAAAATTACCAATCATGCGTTTTATTACGCGCACGTGTTTTAACACAAGGCTAGCTCTTCAAGGGCGTAACAACAGAGAGCATTTGAATAGCGCAAATTCCCGCTCAACAGCAAGCTCTATGCGCTTTACAATCTATACTATTACCCCAGCAGACCTGAGAGCACTCTGAAACAAACAACTTCCTGTGAAGCATACAGTGCAAGCTGCCATTTATGGGTGCTGGAACAATAACATACTGACAAGACCTTTCGCTGTTTAGGGTCGGGTACCCATTCCCACCTGGTTGAAGTAAGGGAAATTCGTGTAAAGTGCCTTTCCCAAGGACACAACCCCCGGACCCACAATCTCATGGTTACGGGTCCAGTAGCCCAACCACTAGGCCACCGACGCCGCTACTCTAAGGTATCAAAGCATACAGAGCAAGCAGTTGATTCAGTGCTCAAACACTAACAAACTGACAAGGTCTTTCTTGTAGTACTTGTACATTGTATAAGTATTATCGCAACAAGTAATTTATACATTATGAAAGAAAAGTGAGGGGAGGATTATGCTGTAAACACTTTATCTATTGTCACTCAGTTCACAGCTACACGGCTACACATCCACCACCACATGTTTTCGTACTCAACAAATAAATTAGTAATTATCGTTTCAGTACAGAGAAGCACTGTTACACATCGACACAACAATGGTCATTTTAAGTGCTGGGAAAAGTAAGACAGACAGACAGAAACAATAGAGAGAAAGTAAAGAAGTAGGACCGACCAGTTTTAACCTCCAACCACCCATTTGAAATTAGTAATCTGGCTTTAAAATTCCTAATATTATATCTAACATAAACAAGGGTGTGACGAAAGAGGTTTTGGTGAACTCCTCATTGTCGAGTTCTAAAGAAAGATGTGTGTGTGTGTGGGGGGTGGGGTTGTTAGTAATTGGGTTCAAGTTTAAATCTTAATCTTGCAAAAACAAAATTAAACTGACAGAATGACAGAAGGCCTCTCAAGCTTTTGATCCTGATTGTGCATCACAACACCACTGCTTTCCATCTCAACACATTTTAAAAGAAATACATCGTGTTCACGTTTAGGTTCCTTGATCTCAATGCATCAGCTGGCAAGGGATAATCATGCAAAACAAAACAAAAAACACCTTAAAAACATTAAAAAACAAAACAATCGAAATAAAAAAGCAACAGAGTACTCGTTAAACAAAACTCATCATATCCGTCATCCCAACACAAATTAAGCTGTCAGGAAAAAAGCCATGACAAAAAAAAATTGTCATAAAAAAAAATATCTGTCGTGGGGGAAAAAATGATCTGTCAGGGAAATAAAAATGCTATGCTGTCATGATCTGTCAGGGGGAAAAAAAAAACGATCTGACCACCTCTTACTCCACATAATTTGATCAAGTTAACTTTCCTTTATTCTTCCTCAAAGCATTTTTGTAATTTCAGAATGAGCACACAAAACTAAAAGTAGAACACAGATTGAATATATCATATATCTTATTAAATGGTTTAATTGCCCCCCCCCTCCCCTTTAACATGACTTAGTTCAACTACAACTTTGCATCCCAAGGCCAATCCACAGTGAGAGGGATACAGTATCCCAGCAGAAAGACGAAGAATTTTTTGGCTAAAAAGACCCTCCTCACATAGAAGTCGTATTAATGTCTTCTCATATGTTGAAGTTCAGAAAACACTATTGGGGGTTCGAACCAGAGCCAACTGCTCTGTAGTCCAGCATGATATCAACTGGGCTAACAGTGCACCCCCCACCCCCCAACCCCTTCCTTACAGTTTGTATGGGTGAAGAAGAAGGAGAAAGAGAAGAAGCAAGAGAAAGAGAAGAAGAGATAGCATTTGTATAGCGCAAATTCTCGGTCAACAGCAAGCTTTATACACTGCAATCTATATTATTCATTATTATTATTATTACTACAGTCAACTCCACTTGTGTTGAACTCATTTGAGTTTATCTTTGGTTAAGCTATGCACTATCTTAGCGGCTAATCAACCATCATGCCACGACCCAGACTGTAGCTCACCAGCACAAGACCCCGGGTTTCATCGCTCGCTGGGGAGAGGCTTTATCGAAATGCCCAGTCTTGCATCATCAGAGTAGCCCGGCTCCTAATTTTATCTAAATAGTATGGATGGAGGCATGAAAGCATAAACTTAAAAAAAAAAACACCCCTAAAACTAAAAACCAGTACCCCTCCTCCCTCATTTTCTCTTCCTTTTAGATTTTCATCTTTAAATAAATTGACTTAACAGAGTACAGATACATACGTACCACGCTGAAATCTTCCACCTGGCTCGTGTCAGCGTCTGAAAGCAAATCGAAACAAAATATAACCAGAGTGGAAATTTTTTGTGTGAGAATAACCTTTCTAAAAAGTTTTTAGTACAAGTTTTAAGCATTTGCAACATCACAAATAGATCGTATCAGTGTGAAAAATTAGAAGTTTTTATAAGAAAGTAACATACTAAAAAAAATCTTTTTTTTTTTAAGAAAGAAAAAAAAAAAAGACGGCGGACAGGTAAGGAAAACAGATTTTTGACAGAAAAGAAGGACTCAACCACACCAAAGCAGGGGGCTCTCGTGGCCTAGAGGTTAATGTGTTGGCCTCTCACTCAAAAGGTCCCGGGTTCGAATCCGGGTAGCGACATAAAAATTTTCTTCTCTAAATTTGTCTCCTTTCACCTCATTTCCTGCTCTCTAGCAAAGTTCTGTCGTCTGCTTTCGTCTCCACTTTCTGCCCTCACCCCGTCACCTCCTTTGCCCCTTCCTCTGGGCTCCTGATTCTTTCTGCAGCCTTTCTACTGCTTCTCCTTCGCTTCTTCTTACTGCAGTCTTTCAGCCACACCCCTGATCTTCTGGTAGGAAAGATCTACACCTAGCCTTCTCGGACAAGGGCGAAAAATCTCGGAGGGCCCGTGTGCAAGTTGCGCACGTTAAAGATCCCTTGGTGGTCTAAAATCGATAAGAGTAGGCTTCGGCCGCCACCCGGGCAAAATTCAAAAATTTCCTACCAACTGAAAATATTAGGTGTGTCCCGCGTGCCCATATGACCTATGCAGTTGCGAGCGCCGTAAAACACTCTACTATAAAAAAAAAAAATAAAACACCAAAGCACCCACCAACATCGATGGACCAAGAAACACTCTACATTATGGGACTGCAATCCCAAACGCTACCCACAAGACATTAATATTCATTTAGCCTGCTCCTACCCCTTGGGCAAATGTTTATTTAGCCTACTCCCCGCCCCCCTAAAAAAAAGGCACAAAAAAAAGAAATTCCCCATTTTCCCCTTTGTTTTCTCAGTCTGCTCCTCTTCCCCCAGCAGCTCCTCAGAAACAGTCCAAAGTTACAACTGTTAAGGAAAATGACGGGTGTCTCAAAGTAGGTAAGTTTATTCAGTGTTTAAAAGCCATTGGCCTACATCATATCTTATAAAACACTCATTTGTTAAATAAATTTTCCATGATGAAAAAGTACAGGTTGTGCACATATCTCTTATCATGGGTCAAACGTTGCATATTTCTGTCACTGAGCCGAGTCAGGATGGAGCAGGAAAGGATGTGAAAGGAGAAAATTTCTGTTGCTATTCTGATTCAAACCTGAGATCCATTGAATGAAAGGCGAACATCTTAACCTCTAGACCACGAGAGCCCCCCCCCCCCCCCCCTCCCGCTTCGTGCAATAAATCAAACACTCACCAGTGTTTTCTGCTTGATCGAGCCAGCTGGACACCAGCTCATGAGGGCCTAACTGACCGGTGGACGGGTCACTCTGAGACTCCTGGGTCACGTACGCAGCAGCCATAGCTAGAGCAGATGTGTGGGTGGTTGGTGGGTGGCGTCATGTGGGTGAGGGAGGGTGTGAGGGAGGGTGGGAGAGAGGGTGGTGGGACCATGGGAAGGAGGGGTTAGGGGAGGAGGTGGGAGATGGGAAGAGAAAAAAAAATTACAGGAAATTTTAATTTGTAAAACAACATTGCATCTTGCATCCTACTCACTGAACCTAGTAACAAATTATTTTTTTTTGTTTTTGTATTTTCGGAAACGTTTTCGAGTCAAATACCTAGCTGGACACAAATCTGACGATAGAAAGACCGACTCCAGCCCACATGATGTGGTTTCGGGGTGGGTTGTATTTAATTCTAGTTCAAGTCTTTGATCGACAGTCAATAAAACAGCACTAGATTAAAAAACAAAGCAAACAGGGAGAAAAGCTACCACCACCATTCTGCCAATATGCAAGGGGCATATGTGAGGCATCGTGGTGAAATCAGGTCCTCACCAAAATAATGAAATCGAAGAAATAGGCCATCAGATTGGCAATTTTAATTAAATTTTTGTGTTTTGGCTCAACATCATTCGTGTCTATAAAAAAACACATTTCCATGTGAATTTTACTGAAAACAAAACGTTGATTTAAGGTATAAAATATGTAATTTTATCGCTTTCACACACTCCCAAGCTATTGATATTATCAAACATTGGCGACCATTTTTTTGCTATTTTACCACTGAAACCACGCGACCTCATCTCCTCCAACTGCAAATATATCGACTTCTATTTAAGATAGATGGGGTTGGTCTTTTTCCAGTGAGAGCAAGGCAAATAAATAAGCTTTCAGATGATACCAACAACTGCACATGCCCAAAAATCGACGAGTGCCTGATTCCACCGCGTCAGGACAGGTCATATGACTGACACTGAGGGATGTGTGCTGTTTTCCAGCAAAAAGTCATTTAGAGCTAAGGAAAAACAGGCAAGACAAAAATGGTGAAATGGTATAGGTTTAACGCCCCAATCAATACTGTTAGATTATTTAAGAGGCGGGACCTCCGAGTTAAACTTCCACCTCTTATAGGACCGAGCCAAGTGGGAAATTCGTATAAAGTACAGTAAAGAGCCTTTCCTAAGGACACAACGTCGGACCGAACTGAGGCTCGAACCCCCGAATCCGCATTCTCACAATTACAGGTGCGGTAGCCTAATCACTAGGCCATTAAAAAGCAAGACACAGATGAGAGAAAAGAAAAGCCTGAAAGAAAAACCTCCAACAGGAAGAGTAAAAAACAAAAACATGTTAGTTAAACTAGCAAGCATTATCCTTTACGCTGCTGCACCCGTAGAATTCTCGGGCCTGAACCGTGTAGCGCTGTGCCTATCTATGGCCCATAGAATTTACGGGACTGTGACAGATGTTGTAGCTTTGATACCAAGTATAAGGGAAGTTACTGCTAAAATCTTGTAATTATTATTGAGGTACCTGCCCTTTATGTACAGATTAAGAACGACAATGAGCTTGTGTGACATGTGGAAAAATTTCAAAGTAATTGGATGTGTAGTTTTTGAGCTGTACACTTAAAAAATGTGTGAACAAGCCGCCCATTTTCTGCGTGAGGGAGATTTATAGTATTTTACTTAAATTTATCAAGAAAAGTTTTTTAATCTAGCTTTAATTGTGAAATAATATGATTAAGTTCAGACAAATTGATAAGATACAAAAACAGCTGTGCAAAATATGGGTTACATTGATTATTCAACCGTTAAAAAGATATTTGAGGATAAGTTGCGTCACAAATTTTTGACTGCACTATAACAACTGTTAAAATTAAAAAGACCTAAAGTAGGAGGGGAAAAAATACCCCGCTCCCATAAAAAAAAATAAACTCGATTAAGAAGAGTTAAAACTAATAAAACAAAACCGTCGACTAGAAAAAGTAGAAAAACAGAAAAACAAAAACAAAGCAAAAAAAAACGAGACATAAAAAGGTTGAAAACAGAAAATTAAAACAGAAAATTAAAACAGAAAAATTGGACCAATCAAACAGAAAAAAAAGAACAACCAAACAAACTCTCCCCCCCCCCCAAAAAAAACCCCCCAACCCAACCCAGAATGAAAATCCCATCAATCAAACAGAAAATCCCATCAATCAAACAGAAAAACAGAAAATCCCATCAATTAAACAGAAAATCCCACCAATCAAACAGAAAAACCCACCAATCAAACAGAAAACCCACCAATCAAACAGAAAATCCCATCAATCAAACAGAAAAACCCACCAATCAAACAGAAAATCCCATCAATCAAACAGAAAAACCCATCAATCAAACAGAAAAACCCATCAATCAAACAGAAACAACCCGGACTCACCTTGAGCCTGGGACACAGAGTGGGGCGTCCGGAGCTCTCCCACCTCTGCCTTGCCCCCCCCTCTCCCCATGGGCACGACCGGAGGTGCCGAGCGGCTGTCTCCTCCCTCCCCGATGGACAACGCAGCAGGATGTGGACCAGACGTCTCCTCCACCGGAGATTGTGTCACACCGACAGTCGATAGGTGCTGCTGTTGCTGCTGCAGTTGTTGGTATGGCTGTTGTTGTTGTTGCTGTTGCTGTTGGTGCTGCTGCTGTTGTTGTTGTTGTTGTCGTTGCTGTTGTTGTTGTCGTTGCTGTTGTTGTTGTCGTTGCTGTTGCTGCAGTTGTTGCTGTTGCAGAAGTTGCTGTTGTTGTGACTGTGGTTGTCCTTGTTGCTGCTGTTGCGACAGAGGCAGCGGTGGTTGCAGCGGGAGTTGCTGTTGCAGCTGCTGCTGCTGTATCGTCGCCCCCTGGAGCCGAAGCTGTGCCAGCTGTTGAAAGATCCGCTCCTGCCTGTCCATCAACAGCTGCAGCTGGTCAGGGCTGGCCTGTTGGGGCTGGATCTGTCCGATAGACTGCAACAGCTCCAGGCTCTCTCGCTGAACCTCGCACGTTTGCTGCTGCTGCTGTTGCTGTTGATGTGCTGCTGCTGTTGCTGCTTGTTGCTGTTGATGTGCTGCTGCTGCTGCTTGTTGCTGCTGCTGCAAAAGAAACTGCTGATGCATTTGCTGCTGCCTGAGTAGATCAAACTGTTGGTCCTGCGGCACTTTATCTTGCTGCTGCGTCTGCTGCAGCTGATTGTGTGCTAATTGTTCGCGGTTCTTAAAAAGTACTTCCTGCTGCTTCTGGAGGAGTAAGTGTCGCTGTGCAGCAATTGCCGCGTTGTCAAACTGTCCATGGACGGAGGAATTCGGACTGCCGCCAGCCACGGCTGCCAACGAGGCTGTTTGGGGTGTTTGTGCCGCGGTAAGTCTTGTCTCTGTCGCTGCCTCCTGGCGTGTCCTTGTGTGTGCCACACCCCTTCCCATCGGAGGCTTGTGGACTTGCTTGCGATTTCCTGGACTAGACACGGCATCTCCCGCTGAATCTGCCGACAAAATGAGGGGGGGGGGGGGGGGGGGGGGGGGAGAAATGAATAAATTCCAAATACCAAAGCAAAAGAGTCACCGCCAACCCAAACTAACTAGAGTAACAAAACAATAAGAACTTTATGGTACTCGCAACATGAACAGGTAGGTCATATATAAGTGCTCTTTGTTTGTTCGTTTGAGTAAAGAGAAGCACATTGACACAATAATGGTCATTTAGTGCTGAGAATAAGTAAGACAGACAGACAGACAGAGAGAAATAACAGAAGGAAAGTAAAGAAGTAGGACCTACAAGAGGCGGCCCTCCAACCACCCACAGTCATATTATATAAGTGCTGAAACATACTTTCTACTTTTCCAAAGAAAGAGAGAGAAGCTACTTTGGGAAGCTTTTAAGAAACAAGAGAACTATTCTGTCAGAACATGCTTCTTAAGTCTCATTGTAATACATTCTGAGAAATTTGGTGGTTTTGTAGATGACAGTTGTCAAGAAGTGATATTTAGTTTCAAGGGCAACAACCGAGAATATGTAGAATCTACAAGAACGGCCCTCATTTGTTTATTTTCGAACAGCATGATGTGTCTTTGACACATTTCATGCAGAATTGAATTAGTTTTCTCATCAAATGAATATACATAAATTATCAAACACAAGTTTTTTTCCTTCTTTATGATTGTCAGGGAAGTGTGATTTCTGTTTTTGTTTCAACTTTTAGTAAAAAGAAAAATAGGTCACACCTCAAGACAGCTTAACAAAATGAAATCTATTGGCTAGGTCTGAAAGACCATCCAATTCCCTTTCCATTGGTATATAATATGTCTATCTGGAGCAGATAGATTATTGCAGAAGACGTGATGGTATGGAGGACCCCTGAGACACAAATGAAAGGGCCAAAATATGCAAAACTGCTGGGAGCTAATATTACGTCAAAGACATCCCTCTTAATAATATGCTAAAGACATCCGTCTTAGTAATGATATGCTAAGGACGTACCTCTTAATAACTCACTAGAGACGTCTGTCTTATTAATAACACACAAAAGACATCTGTCTTAATAACGCACTAAAGATGTCTGTCTTAATAATACACAAAAGACTGTCTTATAACACACTAGAGATGTCTGTCTTCATAAAAACACACTAAAGACGTCAGTCTCAGTTATAACATACTAAAGGCGCCTGTCTGTCCTACACACTAAAGACATCTGTCTGTCTTATAATACACCAAAGATTCCAGTTTCAATGGTAACCCACTAAGGACATCTGTTTATCTTATAATACAAAAGATGTTTGTCTCAATGATAACACATTTAAGACGTCCGTCTGTCTTATAACACACAAAAGATGTCTGTTTCAATGATAACACATTTTGTTTGTTTGTTTTAGTAGAGGTTTTACGGCCCTCGCAACTGCATAAGGTCATATGAACGCCAGAACATTAGAGGCGTTACAAGAGAGTAATAAACATTAAAAAGAAGAAGGGGAGATAAGGACGATAGATGTTTGATAGGAAAGAAGAAGCAGACCACACCAGAGCACCCGCCAACCACCCACTGATAACACATTTAAGTCGTCAGTCTGTCTTATAACACACAAAAGATGTCTGTCTCAATGACAGGACATTTAAGACGTCCGTCTGTCTCACCTGGCCGAGGCTGCCTGATGCCCCTGCCCCGTCCCATCCCCATCCCACCCATGGCCTGGTTCAGGGAGTACTGGAACACCTGACTGCCCGAGCCCACCAGCCGCCCCCCTTTCTGCGCTGGGAGGGAGAGCTGAGCCGCGGTGGACGGGGCGTGGGGAACTCGCCGGAATGCTTCTTCCTCCTCCATGTGGTTATAGGCAGACGATCGCCCGTGCGAGTTCTGCTGGCCAGGGCGCTGTCTGCTGGGACTGGAACTGCCGCCGTAGAAGTAGGAGTCGGGGACTGGCTCTTCCCGCCGCCTGCAGGTATAGAGAAACAATCGAGGTTATACGGCACCAAATACAGAATCTCCACAAGTTAAATAGGATGCCAAAATAAGACTCGGGGGGAATTATCCGGGAGTAGAATGAAGCATTTTAAAAGTTCATAACCTGTTTGTCAACTTGCTACCTACAACCCGCTTACGAATACCCCAACATACCTGCCACTGTACTGTCTTCCTACTTAGGTCCCCTCGACACTTGTCTCGGCCCTATAGAATAGGCTAACAATAACAATGTCACCTTAGCAGAGACTGTGCCCACCATTTCCGAACTTCACGGTGACATTAAAGATGGTTCCAGTAAGAAACGGGATAAAGGGTGCCCACGTCCCTCATGAATCATTGGAGAAGAGGAAGATAGGACTACCGCTAACATTACTTAAACGCAATCCCACATCATCACTCATCACCACCATTATTTCTAAAATCATCAATACTCTCAGATCATTAACTTACATGTATAATCCTTGAGCCTCTATCTGAGAAAGTATGCACGTAATACACTTTTTAACACGATCATACTCACTTTTTTCCACTAATCAGACGGTGTCATCTCATATAAATGAGCAAGGATTTTTTTTTAATTTAAACGTCACCACATACACCTTTCAGGATTTTCTACGCAGCTTAGAAGAAAATTGAACACACCCTGTTCCTGGCATAACCAAAAACAACTATCTATATCTAATATAACATTAATAATAATAATAAATAATAAATAGCATTAATTTGTATAGCGCATAACCCCCCTCTATAGCAAGCTCTATGTGCTCTTACACTATATCATTACCCCAGCAGACCACAGAACACTCCGAGCATTCTCAGCTTCCAGAGAAGCATACAATTTAGCTTAGTTTTAGTAAGAGTGTTACGACGCTTGCACTGTACCATTTCCACCAGGGTGAAACGAGGAAAATTTGTGTAAAGTGCCTTTCCCAAGGACACAACATCAGACCCCTGACGAGATTCGAAGTCCCGACCGTCGGAAAGCCTATCCATTCTGCCATTGGTGTCACACATTTAAATAATTTTTTTAAAGTGTTTTACAGCACTTGCAACACAATAAGGCCATACAAGTGCCGAAGATGAAAGGAGTTACAAGAGAGTATCAAGTGAACATAAAGGAAGGAGAGAGATAAGGATAACAAATGTTTGATAGGAAATGAGTAAACCACACCAGAGCACCCGCCAACCACCCACACAACATTTTTTGAAGATCGCAAACTGAAAACTAAAATGTGTGCAAATAATATAAAGAAGCATAACTCAAAGGAGACCCTTTGTCCACACAAGATTGTGGGTGGTTGGCGGGTGCTCTGATGTGGTTCAGTTCTTCTTTCCTATCAAACATCTATCATCCTTATCACTCCTACTTCTTTTTTGTGTATGTTACTAGTAACACCTCTATTCTTGGACACTTATATGACCTTATTGAATTGCAATTGCCTTAAAACTCTAATTTAAACTAAACTAAAACCAGATTTCTATGAAAAAAACAATTCCCAGACCCGTAACCAGCACAAAACCTGGTGGTGGCGGAGTGCCCTTCAGCAAAACATGTTCATCTCACCGTAACTTAAATACGGAGCAAAGATGAGATAATCAATAATTTGTTTGTTTGAGTAAAGAGAAGCACATCGACACAATAACGGTCATTTAACACTGGGAAAAAGTAAGACAGACAGACAGACAGACAGAAACAACAGAGGGAAAAGTAAAGAAGTAGGACCTACCAGTGGCGCCCTCCAACCACCCACAATAATCAATAAAAGCACACTGAGGAATAGAGTGACATATTTGGCCACATATTGTGACATTGTTGTAAAAGTAGCATGCGTCAAAGACATCTGGAAAATTTCTTCTTTTTTTTTTTTTTGGCAAGTGTTTTACGGCGCTCGCAACTGCAAAAAGTCATATGAGCACGAAGGACACATAAAACATTTTTACTTTGGTAGGAACTTATTTTGAATTTTCATTGGGTGGCAGCACAAGCCTACTCATATTGATTTTGGAGCAAAAAGGCATCTATAACGTGCGCAACTTGCACACAGAACCTCCGACATTTTTTGCCCTTATTCGAGTAGGCCAGGAGTTAGATCTTACATACCATAAGATCAGGGTAGAGAGGCTGCAGAAAGCATCAGGAGCCCAGAGGAGAGGGCAAAGGAGGTGAGGGGGTAGTGGCAGAAAAAGGAGACGAAAGCAGCCGACAGAACATTGTTAGAGAGCAGTCAGCAGCAGGAAAGGAGATGAAAGGAGAAAACTTTTAGAGTAGAAAACTTTTCCGTCACTGTACAAACGCACACCTAGGACCCAACTGAATGAGAGGCGAACACCAAAACCTCTCCACTACGGGAGCCCCTGAAATTGTCTCTGAAGGACTTCAATGGGAATCCCCCAACATGAGAGAGACTAGCTCCTGACAGACCCACTTGAACTGCGATTGTCAAAGTGGGCAACAAGTCATAAGAGGCTTCTCAAATGAGGCTTTTCTCACTGTGGAAGTCACCAAACTTTGGCGGCCATTTTCTTGCTAATTTTACCGCTGAAACCAGGCAACCTTATCTCCTTCAATCGCAGATGTTTTGACTTCTATTCGAGATAGCTAGGTATTTTTTTCATTGAAAGCTAAACATATGAAAAAGCTTTCAGATGATACCAATAACTCAACATGCCCAAAAATTGACGAGCGCCTGATGTCACCACGCCAAGACACATTTAAGTAAGAGTGGTCATCACGGCTACTTACTGTTCTAACTTTCTGTTGAAAAGTCCTTTGCCAGAAAAGGAATGATGAGCCTCTGAAATAGAAGGGAAGATAGTTAATATTCTCATCCTGATTTGTGATTACCCTATGTTTCCGATTTTACACCCCCCCCCCCCCCCCCTACACACACACATAAACATAACAAAAGTAATTCTGAAAGGGAAAAAGTGTAAAGTAAGAAACTCAATGACAATTAAAACAAAAACAAACCTCCTCTTCCACCCCCACCCCCCAAAAAAAATTTTTTTTTTTTTTTTAAATTTAATATTTTAAAAAATCTAATTTACAAAATGAAAGAAAAGGAAACGCAGAAAGAAATCAAACACATTGGCATATATAATGCATGAGCAGACACAGACTTTATACACTTGTGTATATAATTGAGAAATAAATGATAACACAGAGAGGTCAAATTAGATGGGTTTAATGAGCTTTTGTAATTAATTAGTTGAGCCCTGTTGTACAACTCTTCAGCAGGGTTTTTAGCCTGCAGGACAATCCATGTTCGCATTACAATGAATTACACGTTATAAATTACAATTATGTAACAATAAGGACTGAATAATGATCTAGAACATTTAAAAAATACATCAACTCCTTCAGTGCCTGCATCTTGGGACTTGACAGACCACTACAGGGCAGCACTGCCCTCCACCCCGTAGTACTCACGGACTGGTCGACCTGGTTACACTCTACACTGACCCGCTGAGAAGAGATTTCTAAAGGTTACGAGAGTCCCCCTTAACCCTATATGACCTGCACAAATTGAAAATATGCCAAAAATTTGACCCCATTACAAAAATACAAATTTAAATGTACTTTGAAAATTACGAAAATCGAGTCAGTTTTATGAATAATTGATTCTACGACTAGATCGCACCAAACTAATTCTTAGACGATCATGAGTATTTGTTAAATGCCGGTTTCCAATAGACTGATTACTATTTAGTGTCAACTGTTCTTTATAACAGCTTGTAGAATCAGTGAAGTTTTCATAGTACGTCTTGACTCTATATTTCAAATACAACGACAGCAGTTGTTTTTTTAACTGAACCTTGTTACATAAATCACACTTTGAATTCAGGATTCCATTCGTTTTCCTCGCAAGGAACTTCATTCTGTCTTTCGGCAGCGCTTAGATAATAGATTTCACGATCTACGGATTACTTGATCTTGATCTAGATTTATTTGCGAAAATGGCTGAGCCTCCTTCTAACAAAACAAAAACTGGCGGGTTTCAAACTTTAAAGTAGGCATATACTGATGAGTGGCCATGCATTGTGAATTCTGCGGCTGGTGTTACTCAAATTTTTATTCTTTTATTGTTTTTTTTGGTAAGCCCCTACTTCGTAGAAGGAAAATTATACTACATGTAATACAAAATTTAAAGTCAAATTATTATTACAAATTTTTGGCCATTTCATTACCAATTTTTAAAGTCTCAACTAGACAGGTCTGGTTCAGGGTAAAAAGACTTCCACACTCATATGCATGTTCTGTTTTTTTAGAGATAACAACTTACCGGTTTCCCAATCATCCTCGTCAGTATAAGAAGAGACAATCTGAGGCCCCTTAACAGCTCCCATCAGCCCTTCATTTCCTCCAGCCCTTTCTGAAAGCCAAAAGGGTCAAAGACTCTTAGTAGAGGTTTTACGGCACTTGCAACTGCATAAGGTCATATGAGCACCAAGGGGTGGATGTCAACAGAGAAGTCTTGACAGGGAATCGGGCTTACTGTATTAAGACAAACATAGAGGTCATTGTTTTTAAGACTGGGGAAAGCCTGGCCTACGGGTGATTCCAAAGATAATGGACAACAGAAAAGAAGAAAAAAAAAGAAATTACAGGGATGATAGTAATAATAATAATAATAATAATAAATAGCATTTGTAAAGTGCATACCCCCGCTCTCAGCAAGCTCTATGCACTTTGCATTATATTAATACCCCAGCAGACCATAGAACACTCAGAAACACTCTAAGCTTCCCTGGAAGCAAACAGTGCAAGCAGCTGATTAAGCGCTCAAACACTAACAAACTGACAAGATCTTTCGCTGTCTATAGCTGGATACCCATTCCCACCAGGGTGAAGTGAGGAAAATTCATATAAAGTGCCTTTCCCAAGGACACAACATCCCGTTCCTGACCACAAGGGCTCAATGCAAAGAGGATGTTAATACTGTTAAAGTTAGACAGCTGCACATGACATAGTCACGTAAATTGTCAGGGTCTGATAGTTTTTCTATTTTTCTTTCCCTATACACCAGGAAGGTTGGCAGTGGGTTGGTGGAGCCAAAATTGTTCAAAGATTCGGAATCAATGGCATTACCATCACATTTTCATAAAAATGAATTAAAATCGTAACGATTCCGCTAAATTTGTGATGGTGGGCATACTAGTGATAAACATCTGTAAGGGTTAAAAATGTGTCACATCTTGGGGACAGTGCAACAGGCGAGAGCAGCATTAAACGTTCCAGCACTCACTCTGCAGCTCTCTGTCCATCAGGTAACGACTCGGGCACTCCTTCTGGTGGTGTTTCAGTTCCGGCTCCGGCATCACGTGCAGCTTGTCAAACTGGCAGGCTACCATCCTGAAGCCCTTATGGCTCTGTGTGTGTGTATAAGAAGAAAAAGTTAGAAAATGGAAGAAAAGAAAAAGAACCAAAAAAAACAAACACCCCCCCCCCCCCCCCCCCACCCGAAAAGAAAGATTATTTATCTGATTTTCAGCCAGTATATAATTTACAACTTTCCCATACTGGTAGAAGTTTAATTTGTTTCGAACAAGGCTGTTTCCGAGCGACCACCTCAGCATACACAATAAAGAAGGGACTTTTGAGTGGGATATGTAAAAGATAGGGTTTAGTATTTGGTTGGGCAATAAAGAAAGTAAAGAAAGTAAACTGAATTTGTGTTACATTGAATTCCTCTTGCCTTCCTTTGTCTCTTCACCTGGAATGGGTATTATTAGTGACATGTTAACATATGAAAGCATACACAATAATATAGATCTAACATGATTAGAAAAATCAGTGGCGTGACCGTGATTCGAACCTGTGAGTGAGGGAAGCAAACATGATTAGTTAGTAGTCCAGCAGCATAACCACTATGCCAAACAGCTGGTGTTACCAATGAGTAAAAAAAAGTTCTTATAAACCTACTTGAGTTAAGTGGGAGTTTATCACCTTTCAAAATTCGAAAAAAACGCAATTGTTTTTTACATCCTCCTCCTCCTCCTTCTCCTTCTTCTCCCCCCTCCCTTGTTTTCTGTTATGTCAATCATATCTCTTTGTAAATAGTTAGGCCAAGTTCTTGTAGTTATTAGTATCGATTACTCAATGTACATTACAACTCAAACTTTTTTGGCTCACCATTAAAAATCTGAGGGTTTAGTACTCAAAGTCCTCCATTTCAGAAGAAAATAAGTTTTAAGGAACAGGCTCCCATGCATTTGTGTGAGATTTGTGTGTTATGAGATATGGCGTGCGATTCTGAAATGTTTTGGTATCGATATTTGACTATTTTGATACTATATCATAAAACAGCATTTTAAACAAATTTCCTCCCTTCCCATTCATGCCGATTTTCACTATGTTATAGAGGAAGATTTTCTGGTTCTAATGACACCATAATCATTTCTGTTGCAATTTTTTTACCCCCATAGTGTAATGAACAGCTAAAGTTATTCACCTATTACCGCGACACGAGCGAAAGAAAAGAAAATTTCTTAACAGCTTTTCGATTTTTGTCCTTGGAAAACTAGGAAACATCGGACCTTTAAAACCATCCGATTTTTTTCTTTAGAAATTCTTGTCGTGTATATATAGAAGTCTTGACAGCGTTGCACACTAGGCCTATGCGTGTGATGAGGGAATAAACAGTGGGTGGGTGTTTCCGTGCCAAGTTAATATGCAAGAAGGACTTTTAAGCAATAATATGTGCAAGACGAATGCATCACGCAATTCAGTTCCACTTCAGTATGGAAACTTTTTAAAAACTTTTTACTTATATTGATTTCTTTCGGATTCTCTCCTTTTGTTATTGGGCTGGGTTATTTTTTTTTCAAAGCAGGAAGGGTTTAAAAATCTGAAATCAGAGAAAATCTGAAACATTTACATCCCTGGAGGTAAAAGCAGCGAATCCCATCAAAGCAGCCACCAACCACTTGCGGAGCGATAAAGAAAGAATCCACGAAAAGCTCCACTAAACATTAATAGGAAAAACTGTCATTCCAAGCATCATCCAGATGGGACAAGAGTTGAAGCAACGAGCAAATCAGCATGACAAAGGCAACTGTTCATCTCAAACTAGAAGAGTACTAAAAGTGTACGGAAGGAGTTCCGCAGAGGGCCGGCCAACAAACAGCACACAAAAGAGGGGATATTTTGAGCGGGGTATACAAAGAAGTTGGGTTCAGTATTTTGGAAGGGCCAAAAGAAATAACGAACCCTAAACCTAACTCTAACCTTGTCATGGTAAGTAAGTGAACTCCTCCCAAAAGTACATTGAAAGGAGATATATGAGAAGCAGACCACAGTGGTAAACCATCAATAATCAGCACCCTCTAGGTATTCAACTTGGTTTTTAAAAGAAATACCAAAGCCATTCAGTAACAAATGTGAAGTGTGCTGACAAATTAAGTTCCTTTGACTCTGATTTTAGCCTTACATGGAAATTGATATAGTACCAACTTTGTAGGTGGAGTTTGTAAATTTGTCAGTATGGAATAATAAAAGATATGGTAGACTTGAACAAAATAATATCAATTAAAAATATATAAAACTCAGACCTCAGTGTCAATTTTTGGCCAATATTTCCATTCTTGGATTGCGAGAAGTAACTAATTTTGTCAGCACGCCCTACAAATGTTATAAATAAATTCCCAAACCACTATAGCAAAACCTTGATAACATGAATTTCACGGCGCCTGAGAATTTCTTTGTGCTAAGCTGATTTTATGTAAGGTACAGTTTCAATGAATATAATTTTTTGTAAGGGGGACCAAAGAAAAATTTATTTCAAGGTAATAGGAATTTTGTGTTAAACAGCTTCCTGTTTTTAAAACAAAGTTTACAAAACCTACTGTATCTACTCCCTGAGGAGAAAACTCCAAACAAAACATTTTTTCTCCATGTGTGTAATATATTATATGTGTGTATGTGTGTGTGTGTGTGTGTGTGTGTGTGTGTGTGTGTGTGTGTGTGTGTGTGCGCGTGAGTGCGCGCGAGCTTGCATGCACCATAAACTATGTGAAATAGTTGGTCCACTCACCTGTCTACACTTGATTAAGTGGGCATTGTAGCTTTTGGCCAGGATGACATGGGTTTTATCATACGGGCAAATACGATGAGAATCTCCACTCGGAAGTTGGGACGGGTTATACATGGTTCTGCAAGATAAATATGAAAAAAGATGATAAAGAAATTATTTCAAAATTTAGAGCTAGGATTATGAAAGAGAACAAAATACATTCATGGTATATAAATTAAATAAATTTGTCTTGTCTTCTGTTGCTATTGTTGTTAAGGCTAAGGGGTATCGCTACCTTGATAACCAACTTTTTAACAGGCCGTTTCCATGGAAACGAATGAATTTATGAATTGTTTGAAGGTGTAGATTTTCATTCCTCCACATAAGTATAAACATATAAATATATACCAGTAGACCTACTAGCTTCACAGGTTCTCTGGTTAAAAAGTTGGTCATCAAGGTAGTGATACTCCTTACGCAGTGACTATTCAGACTTATAATAATAATAATAATAATAATTGCATTTATATAGCGTATATCCATGCTCATGAGTTTGCTCTACGCGCTTTACAACTAAACAAGTTGGACTTGAGTCCAAATAGACAATAATTATATAATTTGGACTCTCAGTTGAGTCCAGCTTGACGTCCAGTCCAACTTCAGACCCTTGTTCCTAAATATTTCCAGTATTTATGATTTTTTTTTCGATTATAATGATAACAACCGAGACGTAAGCTTGAATATCCAGCTACTGGACCTATATGTGGCCCTCCCTGAATCATTGGTATCATCATGAAAAGAAGAACCAAGTTAAGTTAACCTTGCCGGGGGGGGGCAAAGTTAATTATGTCGACCAATGAGACTGCATGTAGCGATCATGCACTCTTGGCTTGCTGGGGGAAGAGGTGTAGGGAAGAGGCCACAGCTGTCGGTTTTGTGCGATGTGATTTTTTTTTTTTTATTGCAGAAAAGCTATAGATCTAACACTCAACAAAATGAAATTAAACAAGTGGAAGTGGAAAAACAAATGGTGGCGGAAGTAATGATGACGCTGTTGTGGTGGAGGAAAGACCCTGAGTTGTCGGTTACTGTGTACTTAGACACTGCCATTGGACAATGACAGTACAGTCTTTTGACTTTAGACACAATTTTAAAAGGGTACACAGTCCTAATACGGTCATTCTAGTTTTCTAATTCTGGCTTTACGTAAAATCCCCCGACGATAGTTACATTATGTAACCTCTTTACAATCACAGAACTCACTTAGAAGCAGAGTCCGCATAAATAAAACATTTTTTCGGACCCGAGTCCGAAGAGAAAAAAAAACATATTCGGACTCGAGTCGAATAGACTCGAATAGATAGCCTACCCCTTAATATATATCAGAGCATTTCAGAAAAAAATTTACAGTTAGAATATGACGATACAGCAATTCTAGATATTCGCAGGTGGAAAAATATACGCAAACAAGCTGACAGGGTAGACGGTGAGAAAAACTTTATTTTCTAACGTAAATACAAGGCCGACATTACAGACAGATAACAGAACATTAATCATGAGCTGGTGATGACCTTTAACACCCAAGAGGGAAGACAAGTTATAGATCTTTAGTTTAGTTTTAGTAGAGGTTTTACGGCACCGGCAACTGCATAACATCATCAGAGTGTCTACGTACACGGTAACCGGGCACATAGTCTCAGTATCTATGTACACGGTAACCGGGCACCTAGTCTCAGTATCTACGTACAGTAACCGGAATGAAAATTAAATCAATGTGCTGTCACTTGCTGAAAAAAAAAAGAAAGTCAAACAATATACAAGCATCTTGTAGGGCTCGCCATCGTGTCCGGTCAGTGAACCTGTGCGGGCGCATCACATTGTGAGTACCGGTTGGGGTCACCAAAGTTCATTCAAAGTCTGTGCGCTGTGAAGTATAGGGCTCCGGAATGGGGGGATTATTGATTTTTTTAAAGGTACAGCCGGGGGAGGGGTGGGGATGAATGCAAAACTGGATGACAAAAACTGAACTTGGAGTTTTGGACTGCCCGGTTACCGTGTACGTGATAGAGAGACTACGTGTCCGGTTGCTGGTTACAGTGTACGTGATAGAGAGACTACGTGCCCGGTTGCTGGTTACCGTGTACGTAGATATTGAGGCTACATGCCTGGTAACCGTGTACGTGACACTGAGACTACGTGCCTGGTTACAGTGTACGTGACACTGAGACTATGTGCCTGGTTGCCGGTTAACGTGTACGTAGACACTGAGGCTAGGTGCCCAGTTACCGTGTACGTAGACACTCCGTAAGATCATATCATATGAGCGCCAGAAGATTAGAG